CAGAAACGTTAGTAACGGTTTTCATGCTGAGTGACGTTAAGTTCCGTTTCCATTTGTATCTTTACAAAAATCTTGTAACTTTACAACGCAGATAGTAATTTTACATCCTTTAGCAAGGATAAAAAGTGGACCCATTCTGAACAAGGTAATTTTACGCTGGCGCTAGTAAGTATTTTTAATATAGAATTTGTAAAATCGCCGCATACATTGGAAATTTTGTAATTTTACTACAGCCACTACAATTCCTGTATCAATGTGTCATCGCTGCATGCACCTGGTATGTCATGTCCTGGTATATTTATCATCCTCTATTGTTGTGATTCCTTTAAATCCATTTGAACGTGACTCCAATGAAATTTCAACACCAACAACGACTACAAACAATGTAAGTACTCTCCAGTTCTTAATCCTTAAAGCGCAGTAATTATATTTGAAAGAGGTTATGATATGAGACTTCTATAATAATAAAGTGTCAGAAAGAATGCAACATTGAGTGGAATCAGTTTCGTCTCAGAAAGATACTGTGTACAGTGTGTACTCTTAGTTCTTGTGCCATATGTTCTCAGGCGGTCTCTCAAAACAAGGACCGGGAGTACCATATACTCGAGAACAAACCTGAGACACTTCTTTGGACCAAATGTGCGTAGAGGTATGTATCATGCATCGTTTAATAAATATCTAAACTTTAGCAGACTATCAGTTCTTGAAATCAGTGCCTCAGTGGTGTTAACAACTCTTATCTACATATGGCGAGATGTGGAGATATGTTATTTGAAATAGCATCAACATTGAAATGTAATTACTGATTAACGTTTCTGATTAACAAATGCGTAGTGAATTTGTTTACGATTAACGTTAACTAATTACTCTGTTAAATTAATGCGTATTTTGTAAAGTATATGTGCTACAGATGAGTTTCAGTCTAAAAAACTTATTTTTATTCATCCAAAAGTGTTCAGTTAATTTTAGACTAGACGCGTAAAATTATGAAAAAAATTATTCAAGGTACAGTTTTATTGTATTAATAAAAAATATTTCATAATATTCTCGACTTAATATATTTTTTACAATATGATCCGATGTGTTTCACAAATAAAACCACTTTATCATCCAGCTAGTAAATTTACCACGTAACGACGAAACTGATTTCTGCGATATTACTCAAGGAATTGAAAAATTTTACTACCACGTTATTAATTTTACAACGCCAGTAGTAAAGTTACGACTTTCAACTGGCTGCGATTCAAATTACTAACCGAATAGTAAATTTACAAATTTTGATCATACTACTCCAGTCGTAAGAATACCTTAATCAGAGAGGGTCCACTTATTATTACAATCGCATCAGTAAAGTTACAATTATTACGGAAGCTCTTATCCACCATATATAGGCAAGCTGCTTGCTTTCCTCAGTATAGGCAACTTACTTGCTTTGCCCAAAAAGCAAAATCAAAACGAAGCATTATAACCCGTTTTCAAATCTTCCAGCTAACATTTTTACAATACTTATTTATTTTGAAAGTGTATGAAAAAATGTACAAAAAATATCCTGTTTTTGTCCCCCATTTGTATAAAAAATTTTTTTTCGAGACACACCTTCGAAATAGAGCTCAATTTACTAGCAATGCCATGTACTCTGAAAAAAAAATTTTGAACACGGGTTTTAGCGGGGGTGGCACCCTTTTTCCGCAATGTATGTGTCGAAATTATACCTACGTGAATGATATGTATAGATATAAAAATAGTGTGTAAATCGTGGAAAAATGGTGTTTCCCTCACTGAAACCCCTGTTCAAAATGTTTTTTCTCAGTACATGACATCACGAGTATGATTTTACTTAGATATCTCTTACTTCGTGGATGGGATATAGTTCCGGCCAGATTTGGGAATTCTCTAGGACCCAACCTCTCTGACGTGGGAAATCACTAGATTAAAAAAAATAGTATCGAAGTTGAGGCCCGAGATTCAAATAAGGTCCAATAACACAAGCATCTATCACCCAATGACCCGGGGCGGTTACTGGCCATTCTGTTAAATAAATAATTATTAAGAAATAACACAAGCGCCTATCACATAATGACCCAGGGCGCTTACTAACCACTCTGTTAAATAAATAATTTTTAATAACACAACCGCCTATCACCCAATGACCCGGGGCGCTTACTGGCAACTCTGTTAAATAAATAATTTTTAATAACATAAGCGCCTATCACCTTATTTATTTACCAGAGTGGCCAGTAAGCGCCCCGGGTCATTAGGTGATAGGCGCTTGTGTTATTTATTAATAATTATTTATTTAACAGAGTGGCCAGTAAGCGCCCCGGGTTATTGGGTGATAGATGCTTGTGTTATTGGACCTTATTTGAATCTCGGGCCTCAACTTCGATACTATTTTTTTTAATCTAGTGATTTCCCACGTCAGAGAGGTTGGGTCCTAGAGAATTCCCAAATCTGGCCGGAACTATATTTCATCCACGAAGTCAGAGATATCTCTTACTTCGTGATCCCATCGCTGCCGAGCAACTGAGTAAGGGGATGTGCGCATGCGCGTTGGCTGCGGTTTAACTGAAATTGTTGCGTAAAGCAGATTTGCATTAATAATTACCATCAAAGGTTTTTAAGCTATCATTTCGTTTGGGGGTGGCACGCGCAATCCTTTCATCAATAATACATAATTTGTTGTCATAATTAATAAATAGAAATTAGCCACTGAGTTTTGGGGGCAGCCCCCAAGTGTTTTTCCCTTATAACTCTTAAACAATTGCTCGTGCAAAAAAGTTGTAATGTAACTTTTTACAGCATTTTCTACGCGCAATCGATACATCAAGTTTGTTTTAGATTTTAACAGCTCTGTGGGCGAACTCCACGGCGCTCCTGCAAAAGAGTGACGGAACGGAGTTTGATACCCGAGCCCTCCAGACGGAAGGAAAGCGCTTTATCACTTAAGCCACTGTAAGCTCGGGCTACCTTATTTTATTGTGCCAGGCAACTACCTAAGGGCATTCAGTATATAGGCCGCAGTTTCTACTCTACCAACCTCTCTATTGTGAGAAATGATGGTTAATAACTTATTATCTAGCTGTTTAAATCTAAAATAAGGAGAAGAGTCCCAAAGCTGGTACTTTGAGGAGTCAATCGAGCCCAAACTCAATGCAATCCGTTGCAAATTGAGAGAAAAAAGTTACATTTCTTGATAATAAAAGAGTGTGTCAGTGTTCATAATCTGAAATGTAACTTTTTTTTAATATTAATACATCGAATCACCTGCAATTTTGACAGAGCCTGTGAAACAAAAAGACAAACGCCCATCCTTTCAAGGTTTTTTTAAAATATACAGTTCAAATTAGGAACTTACTCAACATATGCAGATTTATAAGTTATGTAATGCCATTTACGATAAATTTCAATTTTTAAAACTCAATAATTACAAAATTTCACGGAATTTTGTATATTTTTTCTCTATACCAGGGCCACTCTAAATCACTAAATCTGTAACCTACGCGAAAAATACATCTGTTTAAATAATTAACCGTAAAATTCATTTTTTTGGGTTACGGTAATGACTAATCGTCTTAATAAATGGATTTAGAAATCCATTCAATTATTTAGTGTAGACACTAAATAATTGTTTAAAAATATTTTCCTCGCATGTATAAGTTGTACTTACCAACTAATTCGATTTCTAACCACTTAACGTACATAGACCTTGACGACAAGATAGCCGGTTACGGTAAGGACTAATTACATTATTTTTACAAGTGCACGAAAAAAATACTGTTGCAAAAAAGAGTTTTTCAATTTTTCAACCGCCTTGCAGGTTTATAAACATAGTTCATACAAGTAAAGGTAGATAAAGTCAGTGCCGAGCCCACTGAAGTCGAAAAAGCGATTATACTGCAAAAATTGGTGCGAAAAGTTAGAAATTATCAAAATTGAGAGACACAATTCGAGGGACAATACATACGACGGAAAATTTTTTAAGAATTCTTTTCCCATACAGTTAAGTAGGTATTTGACTTAACTATAAGATATTTTGATGTAGACAACTAAGAGAATCAAAATTTTTTTTTTAATTAAGGTAAATAATGTGAAATTCTAATCGGAGACAGGTTACGGTAATGTTCAAGCTTGCATATCTTACTCGATTTGATTCCTCTTAATAAAATTTTCGTATGTAAATGTTATTTTAACAATTTACCTGTTTGTACAGAGCAAAGACATAAAAAGCTTAAGTTTTTTAATATATATTTACAGCAGAGCCGGTACCAACCAATAGAGGGCTTTAAAGAACCTGTGAACATCCTACATAAGTGTATGCTGTAGTGCAAACATGCTCGAAAGCACTAAGCATCTGTGTGAAAAATAAACATACACAGGTCGTGTTTACATAGTATAAAAACACTTTTACATAGAGAGTGGAACTTAGCAGCAGAGAACACATAGTGTTAATACAGCCTCAGAAAAAATAAAATTCCAATATTCATGAACGAACTGAGTTGCTCTGAAAATAGTGGAGCTTTAAGCTTGAAGGCGAGACTTGTATGACATTTAACATATTAGATTTTCGAGTGCCCAAAAATGTTCCACTGACATATTTGTGGTCCTAGGATGCATAGAAAGAAAGAGATGGGCATTTTCTACTTATCAGTTCAACACGTCATCTTATGAAAAGTAGCAGTTTATTTCGTATTACAAAAACAGACCTACACAATTTTAATTAGTGCAATGTTAACAGCGCAATATTTAATGATTCACAAATTTTCCCCTTCCCTATAACCTGCTTCCACCTTTTCTTTTATCCTATCTCACTATCGTGTGTTGAGTGCCGCAAAAGAAAAGATGTATAACATTATAATAAAAAAAAGGTATATCAATGTATTCTGCTGACAAATATTGATGTGCATTTCTTACATCTTGGAGTATATGAGCTTTTATTTTTTATTTGCTTAGAGTCAACATAGTTTTACTGTACGCTACGTGTTACTATCGAATGAGCCTACCTGGATGAAATTTACGGAGCACAGCACAAACAATAATCTGTTCAAGTTTCAATGCAGCCTCTCTTAACAACGAGACAAATGGATAGGCCATTGTTGATCGGTTAAATGTTTCACAAGAATCGAGACAAATGTCCGTTATGATGAAAACATCGATAGACAGGGTTGCGTAGGTTCAACGCTCTCTATTCTAATATCTCTATCTCTATCTCTATAAAATCTCTATGAGGCTGTAGTCACATCCTGAGTACAAATTGAAAGTGGGCGAAAACTGGGCCCAATCTTGGCCGCCACGCCGCCCACCTTGGCCGCAGCTTGGCTCCTGACTTGGCCTCCAGTGGGTTTGTAATGTGGCGCAACTTGGCCTGACTTGACATGACTTTCGCCTATAAGTAATCACCCACTTTCGTCTGCAAATCAGTATAATACAGAAACGTCTATATATAAGTATACAAATAAAGTATGATTTGCGCGCGCGCAGCACACACATGAATATACAAACTTATGTGCTTGTATATCCAATATCAGTGCAGACGAAAGTGGGCGATTACTGGGCGAAAGTCATGTCAAGTCAGGCCAAGCTGCGACCAAGTCAGCGCCGTATTTATTACAAACCCACCTGCGGCCAGGCTTGGTTGCTTGATTTGGACCATGCGTTTAAGCTGGGCTGCCCACGTTCATTTCTACTCGGGATGAAGCGCAATAGAGTGTGCAGGATATAATTGTCCCTGTAAGTGCCTGTCTTAAGTCTATTGCGCCGTGCAATAGGTCTATTCTGCAGCGCAATAGACTTAACACAGGCGCTTGTGGGGACAATTCTATCCTGCGCATGGACATATAAAAAATAGACTGCTCGTTCTTACCCGAATAGAAATAGATTCCGTTTACCTTAAGGTACCTTCAGGGCCATCTTCCGCTACCGGACACTATTTTCTATGGCCTCCGCAGGTAGCGTTACCAGGTGCGGGTTCAGACGACCTGAAGGTACGGTTACCATATACCGACCATTCTCGGCCCTGAAGGTGCATCTTCAACTTAGAGGTTATAGCTTCTGCTCCGATTACTCTAAATTATCGTTGTGTACAAATAAATACTTTTAAAGTAATAAATAAACGTGTACTATCGATAAAAAGTTCGAATCTCATTTGTACAATAAGAAAGTTTAAATGCGATGTATAAGAAAACGGAAAGCCGGAGAACTCGACAAAAACAAAAAAATTTCGAAGACCATCAATGTGAGTGATGTAATACACATTCAGAATTTGGTTATTTAATATGAAAAAGGTATTGACGTGGATAAATATTCCGATGAAATACACTGCTTTAATCATAAAAATTATGATGTATTTATTGATGAATCAGAGTTGAGTAAAAGTGTTGAGGATGAAAGGGAAATGTTTGCCGACAAGTATCGCGTTGCTCCTGCTGATGATAGTGATGAGGTTTTTTGAAGGAGTCCTTTATATTGAAGGAGTTTAAAAAGTATGACCCTACTTTACCTATGTCACACAAAACATAATGATAATTATCATCATGGGCATAATTATGATTACATGGGTAAAGTAGGATCGTACTTTTTTAACTCCTTTTCTATTACCTAATAAAATTACCTAATAGAAATTTTTTATTTATCCTACATTGTTTTTGTATGGTTTTATTTTCATTAGCTACGCTATTTTCATGTCACCGACGTTTGTTAAATTTGTTATTTATTTAATATGTACTTGGTACCTTACAGGCACTCCACGGCCCATTCCTAGCAACTGGAAGGCGGAAGCTAAAAAAGCCTGAACCTGCCCGGAAACGCACCTGATAATAGTTTGTATACTGCTCGGAAAGACTGCCGGAAGAGGTCCGAAGATTAAGCTTAAGGCACTGAAGCTGGTCCTGCTACCTGCCGGAATATGTATTTTCCGCCCACGGGTGGTTTTGGGAGGCTGGTACTTCCTCGGGCAAAAAAGCAGTTTTCCGATACTCGTTCGAAAAGTCTCCTTTACGAACCTCGTTACGGACCTCGCCTTTGGCTCGGGCTACAAACCTCTCGGTTTGCAAACAAAGACTTTTCAAACTCGTAGGAAAACTACTTTTCTATTACGGTATATACGACACTGAAGCACGGGTAGAAAGAGACACAGCCTCGAGCGTGGATATATGTCTCTCTCCCACATTTTCAGGGGGGGATAACCCTAACCAAACCCGCACAATAACATCATAGTAAAAATATCTACATTCGATGCTGTGTCTCTTTCTACCCGTGCTTTAGAGTCGTGCATAAGAAGGAGCAGTCTATTTTTTATACGTCTATGATCCTGCACGCTATATTGCTCCATGTGACTGCAGCCTTAGACTATGAGCTGAAGCCCGAAGGTGGTAGAAAGTCTAAACCAGCCGCCACTCTAACCAGAAATAGGATCTTTTGTCATAATTTGAATTGGTAAAGAGTTATGTGGTAATTATAGAGGTGCAATATGGTCTATTCTATAAATTAGCCGCAACTTAGACCAATGGTTAGAGAATAAAGAGTAATTTACTTACCAGTGCCATTTGCGGTAAGATAAATATTTATCTACTACCCAAAAATCAACCTCCAAAAATATAGATAGTCTGGCTCTGTTCGGAAATGATGCGTTGGTTAAGTATTTGTTTGGTACCTACTCCCACCCTGGCTTAACTAACTGACCGTGTGTTTGCATCACATGGAAACAAAGTCCTCTTTAACCACTTAGAACCGCTCCAAGTGCGCCAAAACGTGATCAGCTAATTAACTTTTATTAAGATGTGCGAACACATGGTCGGTTAGTTAAGCCGGGGTGAGGGTAGGTACCAAACAAAAACTTAACCAAAGTATCATTTCCAAACAGAGTCTCTAATTTAATGTATAATCTAATTTACAATGCCTTATCTCTCTCGGCATCTTTTAATATTCCATCCATTGGTCTGAGTTGCGGCTGATTTATAGAAGAGACTATATAGCACAACTATAATTACCGTATAACACTTCATCAGAAGAAATATGACAAAAATATTTCGGATCTCCTGGGATAATAAGGTTCCTTGATTCTGTGAGAGTGGCGGCTAATTTAAATTTTCCATTATCCTCGGGCCTCAGCTCTTAGGCCACGGTCACATGGAGAGCGTAACGCGTAGCGTAACCATTTGAGCCCATGAAAGTGAGAGAGAGGTTCGCGTACTATATCTCTCTCTCACTCTTATGGGCTGAAATGGTTACGCAGTACGAATTACGCTCTCCATGTGACCGCGGCCTTAGTCTATATGTGGCTGCACCGGCTTGGCGAACTCAACGAGAGGATGCCTGTTAATAAATTTTAAATATGTCAATAAATGCGGAATCGTATGCAACGTTTACAAAACGTAACAAAAAATTCTCGAATTTTGCGTTTTTTTATAATTAAAGAAAAAGTTTTTTTGCGGTGAGAATCATAAGAAATTGGATTTGTTCAGCTTTTACACATTTTGCTAACATGAAATATACACAGATCGTTTGCAAATATTTTGCCAAGTTACAAAAAATTTGTGAAAATAGAAAATATGCAGATTATTATGTAAATAAATATATTTCATTTTTCGCTATTAACTCCACCACTAGTGCCTTGAACAGCACGTGCAACCACTGCTACCGACTGCTGCGTTAAACAGCAATTTAGGCGCCAAATTTTAAATTTTTACTATTAAAAAATATAGTTCACGCATTAGTGAATTATACGTTGCATTAATTATGTATGATCTTCAATAAACGTTGTGGAAATAAACATTATGCATGAGTCAATTCGTTGAGCCTAAAATTCAAAAATTCAAGTTTTTGAAAAATTTCGATCACTTCAGCATGTAATGCGATGCCGAGAAAAAAAAAATTGGTTACATTTCTTTGAATAAAATTGATTTTTAATTTTGTATTGAGTTTGAATGTAAAAATCTCAATTTAATATTGGTTTGGCAACAGTGCACGCATGTTGTATACATAGATAGACATGTTAGTTGTCACTTATACTACGGAGCAGAAGCCAAAATGTAAACAAGACTTATTCTTGTGAATTCTGCTAGTTCATGAGGCAAAATTTTTGCGCCTTCCCAAAGGTCGCCATGTTTGTCTTAATGGTCTTAAGTGGCATTTTGAAGTGCAATGTGCATGCGATTGGCTATAGCTCCGTGGAGATGTGTAACAGCACACCTCGTATTTTATTACAACAAAACATGCATGTTTTTTATTTTATTTTCTTTTCAAAATAAAAGTTTTGTCATAAAATAAGAAGACTCATTTGAGAAAGGCATGATTAATAAACTCTAGTTTAAACTAGCTATTTGCGCTTATATTAACCGAATATAGCTAGTTTAAACTAGAGTTTATTAATCATGCCTTGCGTGTAGACAAAATTGCAATATGTGTAGACAAAATCTTCATTATAAAAACATACACATATTTCGGAAAATTTGTAGGTTATAATCAAGTAAGATTTAGTAAATAGGATACACCCGTGGCCAGTAAGAGAATATTCCCAGACGCTGGGACGAAAATAATATTTAATAACTGCTGCGATTTAATAAATATTCAAATGTTGGCTTGTATATAATTTATCGTTACGTTCATTTTGATTTAAAACAAAATTATTATTTCAGTCATGGGTGAAAAAAACTGCAGGGAGTTCTTTTTTAAAGCTTGTTCTCGGAAATGTGGTCTTACTTATTTTTAATTTTCTTGGTAATAATTAAAGTCTTCGCGTCTGTAATTATTTACCACACGGTTTTTGTTTCGTATTTTCAACTTTAATCATATATGTGTATGTATTTTTATTTTAATGTACTTATAGATATGAAAGATTGATAATCATGTTGCCGCCGCAGCCAGAGACTAATCCCACGTTTTTAATCAATCAGTTGAAAAATTGGACCATTTTTGAAAATAAGATATTAGGAGTGTTAGTGATCCAGTATGGCAAAATATTAAAGACTAGCGGCTCCCCGTCTCGGCTTCACCCAAGACTTACTTACTGGACTCAGTCAAAAATTTATAGCTATTAATATGCCTATAATTTATAGCTATAATTATAGCTATGACTACCTATAAAACAGCTATAATAATGTATAAAATTCAGCTAGGGACTCGCATGTGGACCGCCTTAGCGTACGGACGTCACGTCTACAGTG